CTCTCTATACCCAATCTTTTAGACAAGGCAACAAAATTAATATGCAGTCCAGTTTTTGCATGGTTTAGACTTTTAACTATTCTTCTTTCCTATCTGGAAGAATCATACTTTTAGTCTAAGTTTGGCAACCTTATCCATGTGATATATATTATTATTAAAAGTGGTGAGGAAATTAACACACCTAATCTGCGTCTAACCAAATTCAAAAAAAATTTTGGTCGAACCTATTATATATAATTATTATTTATTTTTATATTTATATATTTTTTCTATTTGATCTTGTCTATCGTCTCTTAAATTTATTTTACTTTTCCTAATTAATCTCGTATATAGCACTCGTTAGACAAATCAATAAATATATACTCTGCGACATTTACAATTTAACACAATAAAAAAATATTTGACAAAATTTGCTTTCTTATATTACGATTTTTTAACCCAAAAACCAGAATTTTGGAGCAGAGACGTTAGTCTTTAGATTAATTTTCTCAAATTGAAAATCAATAGTGAAGTCATATTCTTTGCATATACTCTCTGACATCTCTGCTAATTTGATAAGAGTACGGAAAGTATGCAAATAAACAATCCAAACTTTCAGTATACACAAAGACATGTAATAATCTTTGTTAATTCCGAAGAAATATACTCGTACCTATGTAATGATCTTGTATCCAAATTTAATTGTTATATTGCTCTTGCGGGTTCAAATTATAGATCTATTTCTTTATTATTTTTTTAATAGAAGGACAAAATGTACACCATTTCACTACTACGCTAATGTTTAACGTACATCTTGATCGATAAATATGTTACTTCGTTAATCAATTATCTTAGTGAGGTACGTAAATATAACACTAAAGCTAATATAAGCGGAGGGATGTTACTAAACAAGAATGATTGAATTAATTAAACTTGCTAATATGTGTAACGATGAAAGGTAAGTAGTATAATTTTACCGGAATAGAGGAGTAATATGTTTTGAGTCTAAGATGAAAGATGAATCAACTTACTCGATATTCGAACCGAGTTCAACTTGATAAAAACTCAATCAAATTTGATTTCTCGATCAATCAAACTAAATTTGAACGGTGTTTTACACTCGATAATATTCAAAGTCGATAAAAAAAACTCACTCGTTTGAGTTTTATTCATCAAATAAATAAGTTACATTTGAATAAAATTTTAAGTTCGTTAACGCAATCACATAAGTTTGAACACTAACACTAGGGCATTGGATTTGATTAGCTTAGTTTACACCCTTTTGCTAGTCATTCAATAATAAATGAATGGGGGCCATTGAGAGGTTGGCGTATGGCTCTGCTTTGTCTATGTGTTATGCTGTGGTTTACCCTCAACATCCAGGAGTCCAAATCTGATGCAGCAGAATCGTACAACATAAGCATTCATGGGGCAAACAAAAAGAATTCATGGGGAGAAAAGGAAACTTTTTGGGTTGTGTTCAAATGACACTATTCACATTGAGCTGACGGATTCGAAGTGGAAGAAAAAGAAAGATCTGTGTTTTCTTTTGCATTTCAACACTGCGCGAATTTGGAAAGTTTGGTAGAGGAGACATTCAGCCAATGTTAGCTCTGTGACATTTCAACTAAACTTTTATAAATGTAAATGTAATTCTTCAGTTATCAATACGTCAATCTGTAATACTACTACTATCTGATTAATAATGAATGATTAGACAAACTGCATCACTATCTGCTGGCGGACTAGGTCCAAAAAGAAATCTTTCAAGTTCTTTATTCATAGTACTTTGCGGACTAGGTCTTGGTCAACTAGCTACTTCATATGATTCAACAAAGAGTTGATTCAAGTGTCTCCTGTTCGCTCACGAAATGAAGTTCCAATTCTTGAATCTTTGCTAGCAGATAGTATTAAATTTGGATTGTGGTGGGAAGAAGGCAACTGCAGATTACTACTGTTACCAGCAACTTCAATGTTGATTTTCTTGGACTGCTGCAAGTCTTCCAAAAAGAGAGTGATAAGTTGGATCTTGGATAAAAATTTCCTAGGAGCTATGATCAGCTTCCTATTTAAGACTTCCTTCCTCCGTTATGGCCTGATTGCTTTCAAGTTGTCTAGTGAGAAAAGATTGATGATCAGTTTCGAGTTTGCATCCCTTGTGTTTGTGTATTGAACGAAGGCTTTCTTAAAGTTAAAAAAAAGAGACATTGCAGGAAGATGAACAAAATAGTCGTCGGGTTGGCTAATTAAGCCCGTTCTTTCGGCCGCTGTTATAGGAAAATGTACGGTAGTGATTTGACATATATAAAACAAAATAGTGATTAAAAAATATATTTATAAAAAACATAAAATTTTTTCTACAGAAAACTATTCTCTCTATTTGACTGTTGTGTCCGGGTAAGAATCTATCCCTTCACGATTAAGCCTGCAAAATTCACCTTCAATTTTGTATAAATCAAACTGAAAGAATGATCCAAAAATCCTGGAATTGTGGTCCTTTGCCACGATGACACTACTACTACTTTCTTTTGTTCTCCAGCGCCAATAGGTTGTGTTTGGATTGCATTTTCCGTCATTTTTCAAGAAAAAATTACTGTAGCGATTTGATATATGTGAGGGAAAAAGGTGATAGGGAAATGTGATCACGGAAAACGACAATATTTTCCGACGGAAACAAGCAATCCAAGCATGGCCCAAGTCATTTTCAATTTAGCCAGGAAGACGTGTTAATCGAAAACAATTCCAATTGTTGCACAACGTGCAACAAGACAATATTGACATTTAAAGTGCATGCTTAAAATAATTCAACTTGAATATTTTTTTTTTTGCTAGGTGAACAGATTAAAAATTCCATTTGGATTAGCTATTTTTGAGGGTATTTTTGAAAAATTTCACTGTAGTAGAATTTTTATAATATATTTCAGAAAATATTTTGGGATATTTAACAGTAAAATAGTTTTTAGAATATATTTTAAGATATTTTTTAAACATTAAAAAAATTTAGACTACTTTTTAAAGTATTTTTAAAAAATTTTAATAATATTTAAAAAATTAATTTTTGAAAAACCCTTGAATCCAAACAGAGGCTAAGATAATAAAACAATTGAAACAAATGGAGGGTTGCTGTGGTCCTGATGTACGGTAAATAATGACGAGGAGCGAGGCATGGAAGATACTGAGGAAAAAGGCGTGATTCACTTGTTCTTTGTTCTTTGGTTCATGGTTCTGGCTGTGACTAGCTGTCAGCTGATGTGTTTGAGTGCGACAAAAGTAAGTAAAGAAGAAAGATAGTACACGTCTCCAATGAAGATTGAGCGGCGGATAGATCACTGTTCTTGTTGACTTGGTCCCATGACATTTGATACGAGAGAAATTAGTTTAGACTGCATTTGAATTTTTTTTTTTTCGAAACGTTAATTTACTTGCATTGATCTATAAAAAGAGAATTTACAATTCGAGCAAAGGCCATCATATGTACAACACGTGTTCAATGACACGAAGGAACAAGAGATTCCTCATCCAACAAAATGCCTAAGGCATATAAGCTAACATTAGCACAAACAGCCACGGATTTAAGTGGGGGCTTAAGCCCCCCCAAGCCGCCGGAAAACCCCCTATATATAGGGGATTCCGGCGGCCAGCCCAGCCCAGCCCAGCCCCCCCACGGTGATCCAGATCTACCATCCTCCATGGCTCCATGAATGCTGCAGAGGAAGTGAAGAAGAGCTGGAAAGCCGCTGCCGTGCTGACTGCTGAGGAAGAAGATGACCCATTTCATTTTGAATTTTTTTTTTTGCCCTCTAAATACAAAACGACGTCGTTTCACTTTTAGTGGAACGACGTCGTTTTGTATAATGAGGGGAAAAAAAATACAAGGCTTCATCTGATGCAAAAGCACGCCGCCAGTGCCAAAGGGCAAACAAGACTCCAACTCCAAGAAGAAGACGCCAGGCTCCAAGAACTCCAAGAAGCTTCAGTTGAGATTCTACCATCCTGCTTCAAGCCTTCAATTCAAGGCTCCAAGACTCCAACTCTCCACCATTCCATTCACATAAATCTTTTAGGTTAGTTTTTTGGTTTAAATTACAATATTCATCTTTATATTTTTGTTAATTATATGTTTAAATTATTTTTGAATTTTGAGTATCTTGATATTAATTTGATTAAGATTAATTTTTATTTAGTTTATGTTAATGTAATTTAAGAATTTGAAAGATTACATTAAAAAATTTAATGATATTAAATTTAAATTAGAAATTAGTTTAGAAATTGTATAGATTTTAGGTTGTATTTAGTTTTTAAAATTTTGTTAGTTTTATATTTGAAATTTTAAGAATTAATTATGTGAATTAGAAATTTTGAATGTAAATATAAATTCAAAATTTTATGAGATTGAATTAGAGATTATATGGGTATTTAGTTGTACCTTATTTTAACTTTTTGATAATTTTATATAATGAATTTTATAAATTGAGAAATATAAGTAATATGAATTTATTATTAAATTAAAGAATTATTTATATGAATTTTAAATTAATTGATTATTGAATTGCATAATTTTATTGAATTTAACCACAATTATTTAATTGTGACAGAAAATGGAGAGATTCTTTAAACCTAAACGAGTCCGTAGTGGTGAATCTTCAAATGAGCCTAATATTAGTGAACCAGTTCAAAATCAATCTTGTGTGGAATTGAATTTAAATGATATTGTTAGTGATCCGGGATTACGAAAATCAGTTGAGAAATTTGATATTTCTCTTCGAGACCATGTCCGAAGAGAGTATTTGACTAGGGGATCTTGCCAACCGATTGGCCATATGTATCCAAAAACATCATTTGGTAAACAACATAGAAGTTTCCAAGATAGTTGGTATCAAAAGTTTGTATGGTTAGAGTATAGCATATCGAAAGATGCGGCGTTTTGCTTTTGGTGCTTTCTTTTCAAAACACAAAATAAGGGAGGTCGATATGCAGAGGATGCCTTTACAAAAACGGGATTCAATAATTGGAAAAAGGCAATGGAAAGATTTAATGAACATATTGGAGCTGTGAATAGTTGCCATAATGATGCTAGAATACAGTTTGAAAGTTTTCAAGATCAAAGGCATAGTGTGTCAAATGTGCTACGATCTTGTGGGCGCGAAATAGATATTGCATATCGCACCCGTTTAACTGCTGCTCTGGATGTGACCCGCTTTCTTTTGAAGCAAGGATTGGCTTTTCGTGGAAATGATGAGTCAACTAGCTCTTCAAATAGATGCAATTTTCTTGAATTGTTTGAGTGGTATAGCCAGCGAAATACTGAGATTTTTGAGGTTGTAAATCAAAATGCTCCTGCAAATAATCAACTAACTTCTCCAATGATTCAAAAAGATCGGGCACATGCTTGTGCCTCAGAGATCATAAGTGTTATAATCAATGATATTGGAGACAATTATTTTTCCCTAATAGTTGATGAGTCTCGAGACAGTTCAGTGAAAGAGCAAATGGGAGTTGTTTTGAGATATGTGAACAAAGAAGGGCGTGTGATTGAACGTTTCCTTGCAATTGTACATGTGTCTGACACCACATCTCTTTGTTTGAAAGATGCAATTGATTCTTTATTCGCGCAACACGGATTATCATTATCCAAATTGAGAGGTCAAGGATATGATGGAGCTTCAAATATGCGAGGTGAGTTCAATGGTTTGAAGGCCCTTATATTACAAGAAAATTCCTATGCGATGTATATTCACTATTTTGCTCACCAACTCCAGTTAGTTATTGTTGCTGTTGCTAAGGGAAATATCATTGTCAGTGAATTCTTTGTCTATGTCTCTATGATTGTCAATTTAACTGGAGCATCATGTAAAAGGAGAGATCAATTAAGACAAATAGAATATGATAAGATTGTTACACTTTTAGACAGTGGAGATATTATTAGTGGAAAAGGCAAAAATCAAGAAACTAGTTTAGCAAGATCAGGGGATACTCGTTGGGGATCACACTATCTAACATTACTTCGTCTATCCTCTATGTGGGCTTCGGTGATTGAAATATTGGGAAATATACAAGATGATGCCATCACTTCTGACAATAGAGGTATGGCCAGGGGTTTGATTGATAGAATGAATGATTATGAGTTTGTTTTTGCATTGCACCTGATGAAGTATTTATTGGGAATCACAAATGACTTGTCACTTGTTTTGCAACAAAGGGATCAAAATATTGTCCAAGCCATGAGTTTGATTGATACTATGAAATCTCAATTGCAAGACTTTAGGGAAGAGGGATGGCAAATAATTTTAGATGAAGTCAACAATTTTTGTGAGTTGAATATGATTCCCGTGATTGATATGGAAGACAGTATAGCAATCCGTGGCAATGCCAGGCGCAATCGCAGAGGTCAAACCATCACTAATTTTCATCATTATCGCGTGGAAATTTTTTGTGAGGTATTATTTTTGAAATTATTATTTCATTACATTTGTTACTTGTTAGCAGATTTTCTTAGTTATTAATTTTATTATTGTTGTGATGTCAGGTTGTTGATTTAATTATACAAGAGATGAATAATCGTTTCTCGGAAGTTAGCACGGAATTGCTTAGTTGCATAGCATGTCTTGATCCAAAAAGTTCTTTCTCTCAATTCAATGTGCAGAAACTACTCCGTCTTGCTGATTTATATCCTGAAGACTTCTCAAGTAACGATTATTTATATCTTGAGTCTCAACTTCGAAATTATATTTATAATGTGCAACGCGATCCTCAATTTTCAGAAGTTGGAGATTTGGGAAGTCTTGCTCAACAAATGGTTAAAACTGGTAAAAATACAGTTTTTCCATTGGTTTATCATCTGATCCAGTTGGCATTAGTTCTACCAGTTGCGACTGCTTCTGTTGAAAGAGTATTTTCTGCAATGAATATTGTCAAGACTGATTTGCGCAACAAAATGGGAGACGAGTGGATGAATGACTGTCTGATTGTATACATCGAGAAGGATATTTTTGCAACAATTGAAAATGAGCAAATATTGCAGCGTTTTCAACGGATGAAGACTCGCAGAATGCAATTGCCTCCTCTTCGTTATTCGAGTGCAACAACTACCAATACTTCAAGTGTTAATCAATAACAAATTTTTGGGTATGTATAATTATATGTTTTTATTATTTTTATAATTATTGATTCTAAATTTTACTTATTAAATATATTATTTCGTCACAAAAAAAATTTTTTAATACACTTCAGCCCCCCCAAAAATAAATTTCTGGCTCCGTCCCTGAGCACAAATATCCTTATCATCATAACTAACTAAGAAAAAAGAGCACATTCGAAACAAAGATTTTAAACATAATATATTTTCAAGGATTGTTGTCAATCTTTGAATTGAATTGAAAGATTTGATGAAAAATTCAAATTCGAGCACGCATTATACTTATAGTCTAATACTGAAGGCACAAGATCAAGGCCTCATTGGCTGATCGTGTGTGCTAATTTAAAGCTGTTTTTTGGTTCATTGTCTTTGGCTGAGCCCTCAACTATTGTGTTAGGAAAAAAAAAATTTTAGTTTCTCTTTGTATTTCACATCAAAAGTTTTATAGAGAGTATCTCCTTTTAGTGGTTATAAATATAGTGAATTTAACTGAATTTAAATGTGCTAAAAGCACTAGTTCAAGGGCCATAGACACTATTTGAAGAGAGCTTTACGGGTAGGGCTCATGTCTCGGTCTAAAAGAAATTTTGGTTAGGTATCAAATCTCGGTTTAAAAGAAGTTTTGGTTAGGTATCAAATCAAAAGAGTAGGTTATGAACATTTGGACTGTTAAGCAATTTATACTATTTAGATTCTTTTGTGTATTCAATTTTAGGTGCCTTTTGAATCTTAGAATTATTTTCTAAGTTTTGTACTTTCTCTTTCGTACTCTCTTTCTGTTATAGTTAATTTGCTAATGTTTCGCACGTGGATATATCGCATGTGAACGTAGGTCAATTGGATTGAAATCGAACCACGTATCGCACGATGTACGTGGATGTAGGTTAAGTCAATTGGACCGAATCACGAAAACCGAATCACACTTCGCATGTGGATGTATCGCATGTAGACGTAGGTCAATTGAACCGAACCACGTATCACAAGTGGACGTAGGTCAATTGGATCGAACCACGTAAAATTTTTGTATTTCTCTATTTGATTTATTTGCTTATTTCTCTGTTTGATTTGTTTGCGTTTGCTTTATTTCTCTATTTGATTTATTTGCTCGGGACTAACCCTAACAAAAAGAAAACAAAGAAAGAAAACAAGTCGCAAACTTAATGAACCTTGTGTATTAACTGCAAACAATTTCAGTCTTCATATTCACCTGTCAAAACATTACATGAATAACAAAGGCTTTGTTAATTAGTCTACAGCAACCTACATTTCCGACACATAAACGAATGAGTGAATCAATCCCACTAAACAAATCATACTGGATAACAAATCAATGCTTCCAACTAGCTAACTTGGCAAGACCTAGCTCTGATCAGGCTGAAACAGGCGGATCTATAATCGAGATAATCCACTCCCGATGGGGAAGTATGACATGGGAATTGGGGCACCTTTGGACTTGCTCTTCAATTTTTCTTGATCACTACCCTTTTGCAGCTCCTTGCTTGCCTTGTGGTGGCTGCAGCTTATCATATGATCATCACCTTCGCAAGCAACCTTATGGGAATCTGAGAAGCAAGCGAAGAAGCTGGACAAGAGAGCCATGTTTATCAAAGAAGCTTTTTATATATGAAATCCCTAGCAGTATACTCTAGCTAATGGGGTGAATATACGAGAAACTGAGTCGTAATTTAGTACTGCTTGCTGCAAAAAATTGTTGCTCTTTCCGCTGATGCTTTACTCTCGTGTTGTTTCCTCTATTTATAGTCACAGCTCATATGTATTTTGTGAATGTGGCAGCTACGAAACATCCCCGAATGCCAGAAATGACTTATCCAAGATTTCTTGGCCATTACGTACCTAATTATTGCCAGAACAGTGGTTTCTTCTCGCAACTTCCTGGTAGGTAACCTCTCGATCAACTGATTCCGGACAGTTATGTTGCCTCAGGTACCTTTCAAGTAATAGCTTTAACGATGACTCATTCTACAACTCGGAGTAACACTCCAATTCTGGACTAGGCCACGGATTGCTTATGAAATTTCAAGGAACTCCACGATTCATCACGTTCAATTGTGACTCTGGTTTGACTGGCTACTATATAGATACGTGTCTTATGTTGTCAAAGTCATAGGATTGAGGAGACGCCAAAGGTTTGACATTTTAGCTGATCTCAGATGGTCTATTCAACCAATGAAAAGGAAAAAGGAAGGAACAAGTCAAGAAAAAGAAACCTATAACCTGGGTCAAAATTGTAAGGCTCAAAACTTGGTCCAATTAAGAAAAAAGTAGTTGTATATGTTGACATCATTTTGAGTTGTCTTTTGTATTTAACAGTGACATTTAGGAATTACTAATTTCAAATTGTGCATTGTGGATTAAAAAGCTACGCGCATAAGTAAGAAATGTCAAAGAAATTAAGATAGCCAATTAACTGCGTGGTTTGACTTTGACTAGGATGTGCCATGTATTCACCAATCTCCGCGCAAACTGAATAGTGCCCTTTCTTTGATTGTCATTTCATGCGTAGTATGCGATTCAGGTTTTAGTCAGTTTAGTTAAAAACTTCAGTCTTGGAGGAGGGATCATTCAACCAATTATCAGTTTTAAAGACTTGTTCAGTCATTTAAAGCACATTTCACTTATTTCTTCTTCCTGACAAATGCTGATCAGAAAACTAACAGCCCCATTGAATCGTATTTTTTGGAGAAAAATTATTGTAACATTTTTTTTGAAATGTAATGTATGTGAACTAAAAAGATAGTTAACGATCATGTGTATTAATTGATAGTGTAATGATTGAGAGCTGGAAACGAATCAAACAGAAAAGAGTAAAGAAGAATAGGAAGAAAGAACTGGGGCAAGAATTCAGAAGAGTTCTAACTGACTTTGCTTCCACTCAATACCATATACAATATGTCTAATTCTAACTAGCTGCAATGCCATGTCAGCGAATTCTATCGTTATGATCATAGCAATGTTCGCCCCACAAAACAATCCTAATCAGCAGGATTAATCTGGAATTCTTCAACTGGGAATGGATGACTGCAACAACTTCCTATGTAGCATCTTCAATACTCAAGCCATTACCTGTCCCACCTTCTGCATTTTCCTCATGATTTCTCTCCTAGCAAGATTGTCTCAGGAGAAATTTTTGACTTCTCAGCTCACCAAATGATCCACAATATAGATCCTTCCTTTGTATCCGAGAATATCCCGCTTGGCAGCAAATTCAGGTAGAGAGTTAGGATCTATTGATAGTGCAACAATCCAATCCTTAGCCTTATCATCAATAGCTTAACTACAAGAACCTTCAGAGAGCCAAGAAGGTCTCAGAACAGATACTACTGTATTTATAGCTGCCTCAGAACGTCACTCCATTTGTTCATTCTCATCCGTACACCTCCTTGATTGTCATAAACACAAGACCAAGGCCTCATTGGCTGATCATGTGCTGATTAAAAGGGGTTTCATAATTGTTTTTGGCTGAGCCTCTCAACTGTGTGCCGAAAGAAAAGCCAAAATAACAGATGACAATAATAAAATGCAATCTGAAACTAAATGAACCCTGTATATTCCATAACTGCAAATAACTCCAATTTTTATATTCACCCCTCAAAACAATACATCAACATCAAGATACAATTCTGACACATAAAAGAATGAATGAATCAATCCCACTAAGCAAATCGGACTGGATAGCAAATCCATGCTTCTAAGTAAAGACCGAGCTATCTGGATGAATTTATAGTCGAGATAGTCCACTTCCAATGGGGAAGTATGACATGGGAATTGGGGCACCTTCAGATTTGTTCTTCGATTTGTCTTCACTACCTTTTTGCGTCTTGCCTGGCTTGGGGTGGCTGCTGCTAGTCATATGACCATCACCTTCACAAGCAACCTTGTGGGAATCAGAGAAGCAAGCGAAGAAGCTGGACAAGAAAGCCATGTTTGTCAAAGAAGCTTTTTATATATGAAATCCCTAGTAGTATACTCTAGCTAATGGAGAGTAGTGAGTATACGAGAAACTGAGTCGTAATTTAGTA